TATGCTGCATTTAAAACACCTCATGACTCTAAATTGAAAATTCATTAAGGTTTTCCGATAGCTCAGGTTAACTTAGTGATTAGTTTGGCCTCATACTCTATACATATTATCAATTCTTACATAGTGTTAAATTCATTGATGTATGTTTCCAGATATTAAAATCAGTAGCCTGTTCTGTAATTCCAGATTTATCATTCTCTTGTCTCAAAAATAAGTTTTAATAATTTTTTTCTAAGCTAAAGCCTAAAAGGTTAACTGATAATGTTGAATCATATTGACTTACATTAAGCTTATTTAAAAATAGGAATATGGCTTTTTAAAAAAGTATTAATTTTTTTCATACAAAAAAAAGCCTAATAATTCTAGAAGGTTTTGCTCTATTGCATAAAGTGATGTTGCCAAACTCAGATTTCTTTCACAATCACTCAGGATCACCATTCAGGAGGGACCTTATTTTTTTCCTTAGAAGCATAAAAGCAACCTTATTAGAAAGTAGGTTAAAAGATTGGTACATTTGAAATGATCTTAAAAAATTTAGGCTTAAGTCCTCAGTAATGTACATTTCCTTGTTCATTAATGCAGAAATACCGCACATAGATTTTAATCTTGGAGTTAATAATAAAAGCAATTTTCACTAAAAATATAAAAACTGTAATGGTAGAATCATGATATTGCATTTAGCTCTCCCACAAAAAGTCACTTTATTACTTTCTTTTGACACTTATTTTCATTCTGGGATTAATTTTACTATATAAGGGCTTCTTAACTATTCTATTAAAATTTCTATTCAGAAGCAATAATATCTAAAAGTGAATAATAGTCATGTAAATCATTATTTCATATTAATGTAAAAGATTTTGTAAGTTCTTATGAATTCTGCTGACATGCACAATTGTGAAAAGGTTATCTCTCCGTTCTATAGTGATATGCGCTGGAACAAAGGAACCATTCTAAAAGCATCAGTGGAGTACATCAAGTGGCTACAAAAAGAACAACAGAGAGCCCGAGACTTAGAACACAGACAGAAGAAATTAGAGCAGGCGAACAGGCGGCTTCTACTCCGGATTCAGGTTTTATAAGAATGTTGCCACAAACCATATAGCTTAAACATGACTAACCCATCATCAGTTTTATTCACTGGTCTCGTTTATTTTTTCTTATTAACACTCATTTTTCTTTCTGAAAAATAATTTTCTTGCCTTTTAAAAGTTCATGAATTAGGTTATTTCTATTTGGTTTTCATTAGAAATTTAGGATCAAGATGACTTTACAAATATATAATGAATAACAACAACTAATTGTAAAATACAGAAAATAGAACTTTTTATAACAACGCACAATATTATTTCAGCCTAAAAAAATAACAATAAAGTAAAACATTTGTTTCCATAGATAATATTGGACACTAAAGTCTCCCCTTCCCCTTTTATTTCTTCAGTAAGATTATTATGGATTTCATTGCCTCCAGGCATATTGTGCTGATTTATATTGTCACTCCTCATCTGTTCATGTGACACAAAATATCAAAGTATGAGTTTTCATTATTCTCGAGTTTTTTTTTTTATGTAAGCATGTTTTTTGGTAGGTAAAACACTTACTTTGTTTCCACGAAATGGTCTTATAGTGAGAAATTAATCTAGAAAAATAAATGGAAGATTTTCCAGTACCTCCAGATGGCTGTATTGTAGTCTGAGTCACTATGAGACCATTAAATCTCATGTATTTCTTTAAAAAACAATGGGAGGAGAATTTTTAAAATCTTTTTCCTAAGGGTTATTTTTCAGGCAATAGAAATATACCAGATTCCATTATTTGCAAGAATATTTATAATTTGTATTGCTCTTTATTTTGAATACTTATTAATATTTCGGTTCTATTTCTGATTTATTCTTCAGAGATATTCTTTTTTCAGTCATTATTTAATATTTCTTTTTTAAAATTTCAGGAACTAGAAATACAGGCTCATGCTCACGGTCTACCAACCTTGGCTTCACTCGGCACAATTGATTTAGACGCTCATGTCACCAAACAACAGACTCATCTTGAGCAGAATTCAGTAGACTATTGCCAACACCTGACTCTGTCTCAGAGAGCAAGCCCTGAGCTCTGTGATCAAGCGATGGCCTTCTCCGATCCTTTGTCACACTTTACAGATTTATCATTTAGTGCTGCTTTGAAAGAGGAACAAAAGTTGGATGACATGCTACTGGATGACACGATATCTCCTTTTGGAACAGATCCTCTGCTATCTGCCACTTCCCCTGCAGTTTCCAAAGAGAGCAGTAGGAGAAGTAGTTTTAGCTCGGGTGATGGTGATGAGTTATAAAAAAATAAACATGCTCAATTCATCAAATAGAAAACAATTTTATGCTGGTGATATACAATTATGTTATATGTTTCATGTATTGCTTTGGCTTTATTTTTCTGAAAGGAATGTATTGTTCGTGAACAACTGATTGATTAAAAAACCATAGAAGAATGAATTCGCAGGAAGAAAAGTATGGTTTTGACGAATCGAGGTCTAAAAAAGATTTTTCCTCTTTAACTACAAAGTCCAAGTCTACTTAAATTTTGTTTTCCCAGAAAGAGATACAATGTAAGAAATAGCTCTCTACTTGATGATGTACTATTGGAACTAACAGACTACAAAGAGTAAACTTAATGAAATATACAAATCTTTTCTTAGTTATTCATTTCCATCTCCTTTCTATTCAACTACTAAACATTATTTTCAAGAATCAAGATCAACAGATCTGGTGGTTCATTGCATTTATCCACTGTCTGGTGACCATGTTGTCTAATGTTCAATCTTAAATGGGGAAATAATTAAAAGACAGATTACCTGTCACTTGTAAGTGAAAAGTAAATCTATAATAAACATTAGCATTTTCCACAATAAAATACAGAAAATACATAAAAACTTTGATTTCTAAAATTAGACTCTAATTTCTTTAGTCTAATTACACAAATTCTAAAAGCAACTTTGTATATTTATGGAGACATGCTCTATTCAGAAAAAAGAACACATTAAATACTTTCCTCAAGAATATGGACTAGAATTTCATCCCTTCACACAAACATAGCTCCACACACATGAACACGATGCAGGTAGAATGTATTTTGTTTTCCCCTTCATTCTTTTGATTTTCTATTCTACATCACAAATCACATTCCAAATTCTCTTTTCTTCATCAAGAAAAGATGTTGAGTAAACAATTTCAGCAAATGAAGTATAAATATCCTGCTACTAGGACAATTTGTCAGGTATTTAAAACTTATCACTGTGTCCAATATTGGAGATAAATCAATTAGTTGTTGATATAGTTTTGCTCAAAAATGACAAAATATTTAAAGTTGGACTGCCAACTGAAAATAATTTGTAAAATAGAAACTGTTATTACATTCAACTCTGAGTTAAAGTTCTACTCCCATAAATACTTAGAATACTCTATGATTTTTGCTAGCTTTGCTAGCATTTATTAAGAATATTTATATTTATGATGCTTTCCTCAAATTTTCTCTCTTGAACTTGTTTGAAGATTGAGAACTGACTTATCAAGTATGTTGCTCTGTGCTGTCCCTCCACGAGAGGTCATTTAATCAATGAGTATTTTTGGAGGAATACGCATAACTTTAGTAGGTTCTGCGAAAATGTGAAACAAATAAGCCAGATGTGGTCTTACTTCTTGGGGAGTAACAAGACTATATGAATAACAACAACAAAAGATAAACAACATGTAGAATTAAAGACTACATGGGGCAGCATAAGATATAATAAATACAGAGGTCAGAGAAAATGAAAATGAATGAAGTTTGAAGAATCACAAAAGTCTATGAGAAAAGCAGGATTTAACTTCTCTTAAAAGCATAAATTGAGTGAAGGAAAGGAAAGACAGAGGAATAATATCAACCAGATGATAAAAATGAGAATAAGTTGGGGAAGTATGGTACATTCATTAGAAATAGAACATTCATCTGGCCACCCTAGAAGATTCTTTTTGGAGAATTCTGGAAAATAATATTGGCAACAGGTTGTTAAAGTCTTTGAAAACTTAGGATGAAATGACATAATAGAAATAGAATTTTTGTTAGAAGGGAGATGCCTAAAAATTAAGATATTTCTATATATTACTAACATGATTAAGATGTAATTTTCATGAATATTGACTTGGTGATACATTTTTCAGGGTTTTAGGTATTGTTAACGTGGAAAATACACCATCAGAAATCTGAGACTAATGCTGATGAAAGTGAGACAATATTCAATTTTAATGGTATAATAATTATCTCAGGCTTAGCTTACAGTATTAGCTTGGAGTTTGGAGATTTAAAATAGTCTTCATTGTCTGACATGGAAAAAATAATTCTCAAATTACAGGAACAGTTATTAAAGCCAGACAGATAAATTCACCTGTAATCTGACACATGAAAAAGAGCAATAAGATATACTTCCGTAAGAATTTTCAGAACATTATATACTTTTAACTTTATAACAAAATTCCACTTCACTAAAGAGTTGATAATTTAACATGGCAAATCATAGAGAAGGAATATATTTTTGGGTCCATGGAAAACACATCATTCTAGATAGAGGCTAATTTATTTTCTCATATTATCCATTATTCTCTTTTCTTCATATTCTGAGAAGACTTGCTCTGATAATGTCATTATTTCGTCATTGCTTTCCATTCTGTTAAAATACTACTATCCAGCCCTGAAACCTATTCCTTATAGTCTTAGCTAATTGTAAGAACTTGATACAGGATGGTAAAGTCTGGACAAAAGCAGTCTGGAAAGGGAGTTAATATTTGTTGCTACTCTCAGATTATAATAACAATTAGGAAATTATAAAATGGGTAATGGATTTTTAAAGACAGAGTGAAGAGTAGCGTTGTGTCACAAAAGTTATAGATCCTCTCACCAGAAATACAGAATTGTGTATAATGTCAAAAATTTGCATGCACCAAGAGGTTTTAGGAAACTCCTGATTATCTCCTTGGGTCCCAAGCGAAGAATTATTGTAACAGGTCTGTTACTTTAGTAGATAGCATTGTAGTGATGTATCTATCAAGAGCGAAGTGCATAGTTAATGTTACATATAATGATGGAGGAGGGAGCCCTAGTTATCAGAATATCATTATCCTAACATCAATAGTTAGGTGAGGTTTCATAGGAAAGTGAAAGTGTACCAAACACTAGACTATTCACTAAGGAATTTCACTTATAAAATAGTCCCCTTTTAAACACCCCATCATATCTATATGCCTTCAGCTATATATTTATGTAACATATTTATGGATCAGTTTCTCTATGACTATTTGATATTGTAAACATCTGACAATAACATTTTAAATCAATACAAATAAATATCAAAGTAAAAATATAAATTCAAAAGCAAAATTATTTGATTAAGAATCAGGAGTAAATCTTGGGAAAATTGATTGTCTAGAATATTTTTGCAAAAATTAGCCTTCTGATAACAGTAAAGGAGATGTATTTATCCAACAATTTTGTCACAAAAAGCATTCACTTTCACCAGACCGTTAATATACAATTAACCAAGCCTGTTCATTCAAAAATTAATGCATAATTACAATGCTAAAAACTTTGTGAAAAATAAGGTAAATAGTTTCTATTATTTTTAGTTATCTTTTCAATAATATCCCATCTAATCTTTTTCTTGTTTTATATTAAAATATTGGCTGCTTTTTCATGGATTCACATTAAGCAACCTTTCCGACTCTCAAGCATCTTAAAATAACAAGAGTCTCCTATAAGTAGATATAGATCTTCATAATTTTTTTAGTATTCGTTCTCAAACTTTTCTCATAACTGAAGAATATATAAACAGACCATATTTCCTCAGTTTATTAATGTGATGATATCAGCGATTATAGCTTTATGTCAGTACAAAAGCTCTAAGTCATAAATAGCTAGATGAGCTGAGGACATTGAGAAATAGCATTCCTCCTCCTTTTTAAATTCATTTTTATCCATTTACATGACTGTAAAAAATATTAAATAGCTATTACTTGAAAAAAATTAGATACAACGAGTCTTAATTTGTTATGCTCACTTACCTTTATGTCAAGGAGAATTTAGGTTTTACAATGTAAATAAGAGTACATTCTTTCTTTGTCTTGATAGAGTCATATTGGCATTTTCTTGTACTTCAAGGTATTATGAAACTACTTTTTGCTGTTCTAACATTGTGGAATTTCAATATTTAAATAAATAAATGGCATAACGGTTTCAATGTTTTTACAATGTGTCTAGGCTTTGACATACTAACCTTATGATATCTAAGATGTAGATGAAAACTGGAATCAATTAACAATTTTTGTGTTATCAGCACTAGATCAACCATCTAGGTTCTTGAAAACACCTGAAAGATTGAATTTTGCTTTAGTATTGATAATGGCATAGCCTATATATGCTATGTGGAATTACATCATTTGCCCCTCCAGTGCCCTGCATGTTAATAAGTATAAGATGTTGATTTGAGTTAGCGTAAGTTATATAGACAAAGGTTTTATTATATTTACTTAATAAATACTAAGTACATTTAGTGTTGCTGATATAATGTTCATATTACCTTTCTGTAATTATTATCCATTGCATATACCAATATTTTATCATTTGTAAGATTTTTAATTTGTAAACAAAGAAACTTCAAAAATGATAAAATAGTTTTAAAAGTTTTCTCTGTTCTACATTTTTTTTCTGTAAGGTTCATAGAAAATATGAGTATATGAGCGATTATCAGAAAATAGTTATTTTGATTTTAAAAAACTTCCACTGGATTCAACTATTCTAATGATGTAATACTACTATCTGCTGCTTTATACATAAAAGAGAAACTTTTGTCTTCTTATATATGTATTTCTATACATCCAAGTGATTTCTCTTTTGTGTTTTCTATTGATGAAATCCTCAGTAAAATGTCTTTTTACTACATTTGTCCAGTAGACTTCAAGAATTAAAAAACAAAGACTTTTGTGTTTGCAGTGTTACCTTTCCCATTACTGCACTACCATTTTATTTTGAAAATTCTGTATTTTTCCCCATGAAATAAATTTTATTTTTATGTTATTTAAAGCTAGTGGTTATGTATAACAAACAAAATGGAAAGTATGCAAAGGAAATGGGGTACTGTTACTTTGTTGAAAGAATCATGTATAATCAGGAAGTTACATATTATATTATTCTTTAATACATGGCCACTGAAGTTTAAAAGCTAACTAAATTCAAGGGTCTAATAGCATTGCTGTTGGTTATGGCATACAAGGCTAAAATTAATTTAACTATTTAATCTTAATAATAACAATGTAGTTTAAAATCTTTGACTTTAATAGCATTTTATATATATGAATAGCTGAAGTAATATTTCTGTAATTTTAATCTAACATTGGTTAGATCAAGAAAACATTGTTAGTGTAACAAGACTATAGAATTTATAATTATTGCTATTTTTCATTTTTAATAACAAAATAATGTCTTATTTTCTAAGAAAATGAAGAACACTGGTGTACTCTAATACATGAATCTTTGTACACATACTTTTAAAAATGTGCCAATGTTTTCTTTGCTTATATTAAAGGAAAGCATAGAATTATTTAATGTTTTAATATACTTTTTATTTTGCCTTTGTGTATAGACTATACTGGAAAATGCAGAATACGGGTTAACTATCATCTGAAAAGATAGTTAACAGCCATGAGACTGTACAGTTGACAACTGCTCACTACATAGTCCATACTGAAAACGATGATCCAATATTTCCTTATTAATGAAAATAATTGTTACATTCTACAATAAAGTCTCCTGCCATCTGCTTCTTCATGCTGTTATGGTTTTGATTTATAGAAAATATTTATTAAAATGTTGCAAAATTGCTAACAGGCATAATTGTAGCAGTGAAATCACTAAGAAACTGCAAAACCTTTTAATATACTAGATGGTCCCCAGACAATCTAGGATAAATAGAATAATGTATTTTAATATGGAAAACATTTTAAAGCTGCTAATTGGTATTAACTAGACATATCCCTTGATAATGAAATTAAGGATTTCAGTTAAATGTTAAGACTTTCTAATATTTAATACCATGTTTATACATTTTTTCTACATACTGGCTTCAAAATTAATAAAACAGAATAGCTCTGAGTTGTCTATAAAACATGGTATTCTATGTTCAAATATAGGTTCATTGCTTTTTAAAAAAAGTTATATGTATTTTTCTTAAAGCATCATCAGTGCCAAAAATACTAATCGATATAATGACTTCTGTGTGGAAAGGAATAACCAATGTAATACAGGTAAAATAAGTCAGGACGATTTTTGACACTATTTAGACTGAAAAGATGGATGAATGAATGGATTTTATACTTGATTATTGTATGCGCATGCATGGTGTATTTAGATAAAGACACGTGTGCCCTTGTCAGAGCTTATAAAAATGTTTTCTAATCTCTTGATATTAAAAAGACCTCTACACATAAAAACATATTCTTATTATTATGTTATTCTTTGTTTGAACCTATGTCTAGGGAACATCTGAAGCTATCATTAATTTCTTCTATTAGAAATACACACACACACACACACACACACACACCTTATGCTGAATTTAGTAAAAAACATGGAAAAGAACAAAATTGTACAGGTTTTAATATTTTTGTTAAAATAAATGCCATACACAGCTATAAACCACTTAGATATAACACAAGGATTGATTTTATTGACCATTAGAAGGAATATTAAAACCCATCCCAAAACTGTTAGTAATATAACCTGCAGAGTTCTAGCAATGGGGTAGTTAAGTGGTAAAATACAATAATGTTAAGTAATGGATACCTATCAAGTTAAATAGATATCAATTTCATTAATTGGTGCCATAAGACAAGAGTACAACATTCTAGATGGTGATGATTTTGATAGAATCGACTACATTGTGGTTAAGTATATAATTCATGTAATAAGAAAAAGGTGCCTGCAGGCTATTGTTCCTAGCATGGCTTAAAATTTACATATTGCTTCTCCTTATGTCAAAACATCTGGTGCCTACAAATGCTATTTTCTTAAAAAGTTTCACAAGTCAGGAAAAGTGTATTGGAAACATTGTGTGTGAATTATTCAAGCATAATAATAGAATAAGAACTATGTTCAGAAAAAATTAAATTTCTGCAAACAATACTATAGCCAAAATTATATTTATTTGCTTACACAGGTGAAAGATGATGCTGTGTATATCTGTGGAGAAAAATATTCTTTGAGTTATATGGTTATCTCTTCAAAAATACTTGTTTTTATAAATACATAGAACATGTATTTATAAAACATCCTTCAAGACTTTGCAATCACTCTATGTTGAAAGCAGTACATAGTTGTATAAAACCCAGTTTGGTATTCCTAAGGACATAAAAAAGGGAACAACTGAGATTTTATTCATTCTAACAAATTTCTACTTATTCATTGGTAAATATAAAAAGTAGATTTGAGATATAGATGAATTACCTATCTACACAGGTCCCCAAATCAATAAAGATAAGTCAGTCCTTGCAACTTCTATCCTAATGTGGCCTTTTCTTCTTTAATCTAAAAAAGCTACTTCAAGATTTTCCTATTTTAAGGCTTTTCCTCACCACCCTAGTCAATGGTTACTATCATCATGGTTCCTGCTGGCTATAGCAGCTAACTGCTTCTTAAACGCCATCTTCGTAATGCTGGTTTATTTTTTATTTATTTATTTATTTTTATAGCCATGGATAGATTACCTTCCTTACTAGATGGATTGGCATTGGAAGCTAAAATTATACCTTAGCTTTCTTCATATCCCACATTACTTAACACAGTGTCCTGCTTAACATGCTATTTCCTTAATAAATGATTAAGTGATGGTTAATTTGTAGGTAAGGGAAGAGTAAAGTAGCAAATTTTTCAGATAATAAAATGTTGCTCACTCAAGGCTGTGACCATTTATTGAAATGAATCTCTTTCATTTTTTTTCGGTTCTTTCATTTGCCATGAGATAAATATTTGTATCTTCTTTTGGCTTATTTAAACAAAAATAGTAGCAAATGTTGGAATACTGTATAAAGAAATTTTCTACTCTAGAATTCAACCATTACCTCGTTTACTGTTTCGTTAATAAGCATCCCCCAAAGAACAATGCCTGTCGTGCTCACAATAAAATGTGTTAAGTGCTATGCTGGCAGAATTAAGGGTGGTATGGAAGCACAAATCAGGGACTCTGGCCAAGTCTCAGGGAAACTGAGACTTAAAGCAGAGTAGGAGCTAGACTGGTGTATGATGTGAAGGTGAGAGAAAGAAGGGAGGGTTCTTTAAGCAGAGACAACCTGTCAGATTACTATTACTAATTCAGGAGGCTCATCAATGCTTTTGGTAGGTGGAATGTAACTTTGTGGGGTCAGAAAATTTAAATCTGTTTGGAGTAATTAGTCTTAAAATCTTCTCATTTATCACGCAAAACCCAACTTATTCAGGCACTTGGTCAGAGTAACTTTGCCTCATTTTTCTTTCCTATGCCCAGAATAAGAAAGCATGTATTTCAGTGTGTGTGTAGGAAGAGTAGGAAGAGGAGAAGGAGGTGGAGGAGAAGTACTCTGACATTGTGAATCAAGGTACTGTTCTCAAATAGCTCAAACACTACTCATCTTTCCTTTCCAGACAGGGGATGCAATTTTTTTTCTTATTAGTATGAAGCATATAGTAAACCCTATGCTTACAGCTAGCAGTTTCCCCTTTCAAGAAACTTTTCCCAACTATGAATGTCCAACAGTACCCAATAACACCTTACTTCTTTTCATTATTATTCTACATATATTATTTAAGAAACCTAGTGTGAAAAGGAAACTGCATAAGTAAAAAGGCATATTCTATTCTTGAATGGGAAGACTTAACATAATAAAGGTTTTGATTCTCTCTAAATTAATTTATCAATACCAATAGGTTTTTGTAAGTCAGTTGATATCAGTTGTAAATCAGTTTAATATCAGTTGATATTAAACTTTGTAAGGAAATATAAACAAATAAAAAAAGAAACATCTGAAAAAGAAGAGCACTTAGAGAAGACAAGGGTTATTGGATTAAAACATATTTTAAAGTCTCACTAATTAAAACTCTGTGATGTAGGGACCTGAATAAACAGATAGTTCAAAGGACAGAAATAAGCCTAAATACATATTGGAATTAAACATAAAGGAAAGCATTACAAATCAATAAAAAAGAGACTATCTTATAAATGGTGTTGAAAGTATATTGAATGTTCATCTATATGAGAATTATGGGACATCTATAAAATGTAATACTATATCCCTGACATGAGAAATGAAGGAAAAAAGAACTCTGTTCTGATATGGAAAGTTCTCCATTAAGGGTTTTTTACTTAGTAATATATGGAATTGAGTTGTATATGTATATATATGAAGGTGTCTTTTAGGTGATAAGGAAAGATAGAAATATGTACTTATATTTATTATATGTGCAAAAATAAACTATTAACAGATATGTAGAAATCTAGTAACTTTAAAAGAGGAAGCAGATATGAGAATATTTTCACTAAATATCTTTTTATTCTTTAAAAAAATTTTGAAACATATAAATGTGTTATTTATTCAAAGAAAAAAATTTAAATGCATGATAAGTTTATACAGCAGTCCCCCCTTATTTACAAATGTTTCACTTTTTGCAGTTTTGTTTGTATGTCATCAATCGTAGTCCAAAAATATTAAATAAATAATTTCAGAAATAAAGTTTTAAATTGCACATTGTTCTGAATAGGTGATGAATCTCAGGTTGGCTAGATCCATCTCACCCAGAAATGAATCATCCCTTTGTCCAGCATCTCCATGCTGTATAAGCTCCCACCAGTTAATCACTTAGTAGCCATCTCATTTATCAGATCACCTGTTGCAGTATCACAGTAATTGTGGTCAAATAATCCTTATTTTACTTGTAATGGCCTCAAAGTTCAAGAATAGTAATGCTGGCAATTCAGATATGCCAAAGAGAAGCCATAAAGTGCTTTCTTTAAGTGAAAAATTTAAGGTTCTCAACTTAATAAGGCATTTTATCATTTCACATTATCACAAGAAGAAGGGTGTGTACAATACAATATTTAGAGAGAGAGACCACATTAACATAACTATTACAGTATATTTTTATAATTGTTCTTTTTTAGATATTGTTGTTAATCTCTTACTGTGCCTGATTTGTAAATTAAATTTTATCATAGGAAAAAAGTATAGTATATCTAGGATTTGGTACAATTTGTGGTTTCAGATGTCCACTGGGGGTCTTGGAACTTATCCTCAGCACATAAGCGGGAGGGCTACATATTAATGGTTTATTGCCCCAATTTTCTTTTTCTATGCTCTTCTTTCACCCATAGTTCTTTCTGCAATCTTGTCTTTCAAGTGCCTTCAGCCAGTGACAGTTCTAAATTTCTTGCTTGAAAACTGATAAAGGCAGAGAAACAAAATAGAAATGAATCTTTTTTGTGTTATTTTTTTCTGAGGATTCTTAGAAATAAGTAGATCTCCACTCTAATACAAACATTAGCTTTAAGAACCCTGTGGTATGCAGAATAATGTCACCCAAGGAGTCCACATCCTAATCTCTAGAGCCTGGGAGTACCTTACATGGCAAATGAGACTTTGTAAATGTGGTTAAATCAAGGATCTTAAAATGAGAGATTATCTGTGTGGGCACAATTGAATCACATGGGTCCTTCGAGAGAGAGAAATTTTCCCAGCTGTTGTCAGAAGGATTTGTGACTTTATAGTTCAAGATACCCAGGAAAC